AGTGCAAAATGCCCTTCATTCATTTAAGAGAATTCCGCTCTTGAACCAAGACTACGGCTTTCTGAGTAAGGAGTGAGGCCGGTTGGACGTGGCCGTACCGATGGTCCTGTTGGCGTTCATGGTCGCTGGATGTGCGTCGGGACGAGGTGCGAGTCGGCCGGGAGTGGGACGGGCACTGATTGCAGGCCGTGTGCTCCGTGAGGCGCCTTGACGACTGATAAACTATCCGTGCGGGTCGACGGGGCAATTTATTCACTGCAGGAGACAGGGACTGATAAAGACGTTATTTTTAATCTGATTTTGCGGATAGAAGGACTGATTGCCCTTATCTGTTTGGTGTGGGGGTCTACCAGTGAGTCGTCTTGCCGCTCTGGTCTCTCCTATCGGCAGCAATAAGGTAGGGTACTCCCCACTAATGTTTTAGAGAAACTCGCAGAAAACGTTCTTTCCGCCACCCGAACTCTTGCGAATGGTTCAGACGTCGCTTATTCTCTAAACACCCCTCCTTGTCCTGTTCACGGCGCGGCCACGCGTGTTTTGGAGGTGCTATTGCTATTCGCTCTGTTGAGGTCCCCCACAATAATGTCCCTCGGGGTGATGCGAGGCCACGTTGATCTCCAAAACGTTCTCTCGCCCGGTCACTCGGGCGCTGCGGGCGGGCCGCCGTCTCCACACAGCGGCGTGGCGGGTTGGCCTACCCAGCGCGCAGCAGGCGCCATCAGCGTCTCCTCGTGAAACGCTCATTGTGGGGACAGCTTTCTTAGACGTGGTTTTTACATTTATCGTGCTCAAGTGCGTTGTGTGGCTAAACCCGGTAAAACTTTTTTCTTGATTGTCGAGGTTAATTTCATAAATTTCAAGGACGGTTGGATAACTTTAATAGCGGCTTTTTACCGTGAAAGGAAAAACATGTAGGAGCTTGCCATTGGTTCTCTTTATTGTTTCTTTATCGAGAGTTAAAGCCGATGACACCTTCCTTTACTAAGGTATGGTTATGTTTAGTCTAAATGTAAGGTGTCATCTGCTAAAAATAGGAGGGGTAGCATGGTCTTGGAACAAGGGTCACTTCACGTAACTCGATGAATAATGAGTGCATTTCTAAAGTCTTCTCGGGTTCGAGTAAAAGTTTATTTCAAATACATTGATATTTCATTGCATTTTCTGATCTGCTTTTGTAGAACAGAAAGTCAGAGAACACCAATACTACATTTTAAAAAATACAAAGAAATTCCCGCGCGGTATCCCCAGAGCGGGGTCAACCCCGCTTTAGCCCAGTGGTGTTGTTGTCGGCCAGCCACGCGTGGCAGTCGAAGTTGAACTCGCACCGCTGTGCCTCCTCGTTGAACCTGCGGCCCAGCATCCACAGGAAGCACCGCTCCTCCCTGCCGCGGTCGCAGTCGCAGGCCTCCGCCTCGGCCGCGCCGCGGACGAGCCGGTACCGCAGGCCGCTGGTGTCGCACCGCGAGCAGAAGTCCTCGCTACCGGCCGCAGCCGCGGCGGCGACCACCGCCACTACTGCGACAAGGAGAAGGGATTTCGCAACGGTGTCGTAGAACTATGTTGTATTAATTACTGAGCGCGTTTAGTCATCGCTACAAAAGTTATTGCGCCGTCCAATATAGTCACACACTGGAAAAATGACCTGCGGTGAGTCACACCACTTTAGGCCGCCACATTGTGATGGATACAAATCATGAGAACCCTTCTAGTAGCCATTCTGACGGGTACGTTTACTTGCGTCAGCGGTGACGGCGGACGTTTAATCTCCAATCGAGCGCGTCACAACTGATTGGAGATTAAACGTCCGCCGTCACCGCTGACGCAAGTAAACGTACCCGTCAGAATGGCCACTAGAAGGGTTCTCATGGCGGTGACGAAGAACCTTCACTGACTGGACGCCCGTGTCTCACTGGCCGCTATTCGCGCCAAGCGCGATGCGCTGGCGCTCTGGTCCTTATCGGCGAGGGGCCTGTGACAGTTGGCCGCCGCCTCGGCGGTGTACACGTGAGCTGCCCGCACTTGTCTTGCTCGCCCGCACAGAAGGGTGGTTGCGCGGGCTCCCTTGGCGTCCGGGGGCGTGGTGTGGTCTTGTGGAACACTTTTTTCCATGCGGGCTACCGCGCCCTAGCGGCTGGTACTAGAAGCTGGTGACGGGAGCCAATGGGAGGCTGCCTACTCTCCCGGGACCATTACAAATGGCTCGCCGCACACTATGGGCTTGCAGACTTGCTTAAGGTGTAACTGTTTTCGTCTTTCGTATGGTGTAGTTGGCGAGGGGGCCTCAACTCCGGCAATCTGGTGTACACCCACCCCGGCAATCTACGATAAACTTCGGCAATCTCTAGGTAATCGGCTGCAAAAGCCATGCTTTTTGCCTACATTCAGGGAGACATTAGTGCGTTTTGCCTAGTTACAGGCGGTTTATGCCCTTAAAGCTAAACATTCGTAAAGCAATCTATGGCAATCTTGGCAATCTGGTGAACATCCTACAAGAGAGTAGAGGCCCCCTCGGTAGTCGGTGTAGCTTTTCAACTTTTCAAGTCTTTCATATGATGAAATATTTCAACCGGCCTGTCTTTCATCTAGTATCTCAATGCTGTAGTCTTTTACGATGCCTTCCTGCGAGAAAGGATTTTCCGAGTGACCGCTGTTGAAAAAGGCTTGGCCGAGCGACCCTTGGCCCGTATCAAAAAGGTCGACGGTTAACGATGGAGATTTCAGAGGTTGCACTCTCTAAAAATCGTTTTGACCTCGAAGCGACCCTGTGCAAAATCTAGCCACCACCAAAGACAACGCTTTCCCGACTTAGATCGCATTTCAAGTTGGGAACTAAGAGCGGCCGCTAGAGGGACCCCATGTTGACCCAGTGCTACGTGCTACTGGTGCGCCTAGGAGCGACAGGGCACTGGTCAGGTGAGACCCTATGGCCCACCAGCAGTAGGGCAGTCAAATTCCTGCTCTTTAGCTTTAAAGTTCATTTTCATAGCTTCCACTAACTTTTTCTTTAACTCTTCATTTTCCCTCAGTACAACTTCCATTTTATTAAGAATAGGGAAATATGCATCTATGGAATGAGATCCAATAGCTGATATCATCTTTCGCTTTGTCCTTTCACATCGACTGTGCTGTGACCAATCTCTTCTCTTCAGAAAAGGAGGAAGGCTGGTGACTATGCCTTCTCCTTTTGTCGAAAATTTTCATTTTTACTATTAGAATCAGAAGAATCAGAATCTATACGCTTGGAAGAGTGGCGAGTTCTCTTAGAGAGAGGTGAATCATCATGACTTGAATCAAATGAATCATCAATTGCTAAAAAATGGTCAGCAGAGCCTGAGGTCATTGAGAATTAAGGGGTCAGTTCAAAGAATACCAGTTAAAAGTGAAAGAAAAAGTTGCTACAATAACTATTATTTCAGTAGACCTTACCTGCTGAATGGTTTCCAGGAGAATTTGGGGAACTGGAATCATTAAGAGATAATACATCATCTCTATCACTAGGGGATCGGCTAGTATGGTCCTCAGTTGCATTAGATACTAAAAGAATAAAATAAATTATTAGAGAGAACCAAAAACACTACACTAAAGTGACATCAGAACGGTCCCATTTCAACTCACTTGGTGAAGGATTAGAACAATTCTCATTTGTAGATTTAAAACTTTTCAGGGTTGGACGATGAGCTCTCTTTCTGGTAACTGGACTCTCACCACCAGTGATGTCACAAGATTTAACGCCATCACTCGAACATTCACCTTTGTCACTACACCCTGCATGAAATTTGAGAAATAAGATTAATAAGTTCAATTATCTATGATAATTTAGTACAAAACTCAACATTCCGACACCTTGGAATAAAAGGCACGCAGTTCAACCGCTGGATCCGAGATCCACGCAGTTCTTCGCTACAGGGATAGGAACTCCGTGGATCTCGGATCAAGCGGCTGAACTGCGTGGATCTCGGATCCAGCGGTTGAACTGCGTGCCTTTTATTCCAAGGTGTCGATTTAACCTACCACTTAATGTATAATTTTTTCCATGGTTACTTTTTGGTGAAAAGAATTTTGTGAGGGGACTTCTTGCAATGCTTTTTGAAACTACGAGATGGGTCAGCTCAATATGTCTATAGAAATTTGCAGTGTTCCAGCTTGTTTTTTTCTTAAAAAGAGCTGAGGCGTGACGACAGTCAGTTACTGGACACTGTACTTTTGATGCAAATTCATTGTTTCCGTTTACATGAACATTAACAGAAACATAGTCTGTTGTGGGCGAATCCAATATGTGAGATGCATTTGAACAAAGCCACTTGTTGATTGTATTGAGGAGAGATTCTTGGACCTTGACTATATCATTATTCATGGAAGTATTTGCAGATGGTGACAATACATTATAGGTTGAAGGTTTTTCCTGTGATTCTTTGGAGATTGTCACCTTTTTTGGCAAGTTTTTCCCACAGTTCAGGCACAGCAACTCAGCAGTGTTGGATACATTTAATTTTGAAGCAAATTCAGAGCACGCAAGCATTATGTACTCAAAGCCGCCCAACTCAACAAAGGCTTCAGGTGCACAGGAAAATATACCCTAATGATACTCCATTTCTTTAGTCAATACTTTTTCATCATTTGCATGTTTTTTAGCCAGAACTTTATACAGCACTTTTTGTATGAAATGCTCAATTTTTTTAATGTCTGCATCTTTCAATTTTACAAGTGCATGGATGGTATCATACCCCATGACTTGGAACACTATTTTTATAGTAGAATCCACTTTTAAATTAAAAGGCTTTTCCTCAAGTTTAGTTCAGAATCACGGAAAAAAATATGTAAGTTCGTTTGCTGATATCGTGACAAGCAACTTTTAAGCTACCGGAGCTAATAATTGACTCCTGTGTGCAAGAATTAGCTAGGGCAGCTAATGCTTATCTGGATTA